ATAATGATCGTCTGTGGAGTCGGACTGTTCCTTGATAAAGATACACCCACTAATAATAATAATAATAATAATAAATTGTTTAATATTCTTGGAATAGGAGAATTGCTAGTTGTAAGTTGTTGTTTGTTTATTTATTTATTTGTTTGTTGTTTATTAGTTTATATCATTGTCATTGGATGGGGTCACTGGTGTTCTTCAAGAAAGATTAAAGGCTTCTCATAATGTCTCAGCATTACAGTTGATGTTTGGTGTGAACTGTATTGCTCCTGTTTACCTAATCACAGGTAAGAATACTGATGTAATGTTTTATACATATACATGTACTTATGTTGTGTAGAAAGTTTGAGCTGATTCCGATCAAAGTTAGATTTTTTATGAATTTTTGAAGTTGCTTTAAAATAGGACAAAAGTCCCTGTACTATAGTACAGGATGTTTTATCAAAAATGTCTTCCTGATACATTATTATGATAAGTATTACAGGCCAACTGTACAATATTAAACTCTCCTCCTCTCATTGTTAGGGCTACTAGTCACAGGAGAAGGATTCAGTGCCCTATACTTCATAGGTCGTCATCCTGAAGTGACTCTAAACTTAATAGCATTCAGCCTTGCCAGTGCTATTGGCCAGTTATTCATATTCACAACAATAACAACATATGGTCCACTAACATGTGCTGTCTTTACCACCACTCGTAAATTCTTCACAATACTAATGTCAGTTCTGTTGTTTGGGAACACTTTGCTTCAAAGACAATGGGTTGCTGTGGCCCTAGTCTTCATTGGCCTATCAATAGATGCTTACATTGGCTCCAAGAAGAAGACGGAGCAAACTAAACAGCAGCAACAAACTCAGATAGCTTAATTATTATTTAATTATCTCATCTTTCTCTTTTATAAATATTTTTCAATAATTAAAATTCATGATTTTTAGGAAGGAGGTGTGGCCAGTTTTAACCCTTTGTATACTTGATTAATTTTTTGTGATGAATTCTCGTTCTGTATCATTTGTTGATAGACTGGAATTAGAATTCACTGGAAATCACTTCTCACATGCTCTAACTTTAGGAGATGTGGACGGAGATGGAGTAATTTATTTATTTTTGCATCATTTTAATAACATCATGTTATAAATCTCTTCTGTTAGCTCAATGAGTTTATCGTTGGTAATGTCGAAGGACAGTTGTCTGTTTTTAAAGGAAATACTTCAGGAAAACCCTGGCGTAGTGCAACAGGATTAGGATCTGTAAGAAATAAACCATTTGATTAATTATTAATTCATTAATATTATCAGATAACGTGTGTCACTACTGGTGATCTATTTAATACAGGGAAGGTAATATTCATTAATAATTATTGATTGATTAGTTATTATTATTAATAGGTTCAATTAATATGCATCAATGCAATGGGGATGTGCTATATATTCAGCTTATATCGTTCAGTAAGCATTAATTAATTAATTGATAATAATAATAATATTATTATTATTAGTCAAAGTCAAGAACAGGTAGTAGTGTGGAGCCAGTACATACGCAGGAACTGCCTCCTAATATTAAAGTGATGATCATCGCCAGTATAGGTCAGTTTATTATTATTATTATTATTATTATTATTGTTATTATTATTATTGTTATTATTATTATTATTATTATTATTATTATACTGTACTTTATGCTAGCTCCCGATAATAAGGAAGAACTGTTTGTTGGTCACACTGACCGATATATTGGAGTCTACCGCTGGACTAACGACTTTAACAGGTTGGAGTTACGTCACAGATTAACACTGGAAAGACAAGTGAGGAGAGAGAGAGGGAGGGAGGGAAAGGGATATTATTATAATATCCTCATAGATTGGTTCATTATCTGTTACCATGACATCAGATGGGCGGAGTCAACTCCTTGTGTCTCAAGTGGGCGGTACTTACGTTCCCCTGGAATATGTAGAGAATGTTGAGGACCTCTTCCCCTCCATATCCTCCTCCTCAATGCTATCAGATAATTCTACTAAAGATATTCAAGACTCCAGCGACACTGGCAGAGGAGACAAGGAGAACTACATTAACATGAGTTTAGAGAATGAGCCGGAGGAGAAGAGGAGGGCAAGTGACTCCGTCAGTCTTAAACAAAATAAAACACCAAAGGTGTCTAGACACTCCTCTACTGGTGATGTACTGGAAA